GTTTTTCGGAGTAATTTTTTTATTTTTCTGTTTTATTGAGTAGATTTTTTCTGTCTTTCGTGATAATTCTTTTTCTGTCTTCGGAGTAATTTTTTTTTCTGTTTTTTCATGGTAATTTTTTTCTGTATTTCGTGGGGTTTGGTAATTTTTTTCTGTCTTTCGTGGTATTTGTTTTTTGTTTTTTGGAGTAATTTTTTTTTTCTTCTGTTTTTTGGAGTAATTTTTTTATTTTTCTGTTTTTTGGTGTAATTATTTCTGTTTTTTTGTGTTTTTTTTGTTTGTTTTCCAGAGTAACTATTTTTATTTTTCTGTTTTTTGGTGTAATTATTTCTGTTTTTTGTGTTTTTTTTGTTTGTTTTCCGGAGTAACTATTTTTATTTTTCTGTTTTTCGGTGTAATTTTTTCTGTTTTTCGTGGTAATTTTTTTCTGTCTTCCATGATATTTTTTGTTTTGTTTTGTTGTTGTTTTGTATTTTTCTTATTTTTCTGTTTTTCATGGTCATTTTTTTTCAGGGTAATTTTTTTATTTTTCTGTTTTTCATGGTCATTTTTTTTTCGTGGTAATTTTGTTTCTGTTTTCGGGTAATTTTTTGGAGTAAAAATTACTCAATAAAACAGATTTTTTTTTATTTGTCAAGTGAATGCAATACCTTTCCATATGAACTAACTTGCAGTCCTTCAGTAAAGTAAAAGTAGAAATACCGCAGACTCAAAATACTCAATCAAAAGTAAAAGTCCCGAATTCGAAATGTTACTTATGTAAAAATACAGACCTAGCAAAATGTACTTCAAGGGTAACGTCAGTATTTTTCAACTTGGATGCCAGGGACCAACACGGCCTGGTGCCCCGCCCCAGTAACGCCCCACTTGGACTTTTGGAGCCTTAAATTTTCTTCGAGTCCTGTTGCATTTCCTGACGCTGCTGGGCACCGTTAAACTCTAACGACAACTGGCCGTGTATCATACCAACGTTAAAGGACGGCTTTTTTCGTCTATAGCCTCTTTTACTCTGCCAGATTTTCGGTGAATGTTGGGCCGTTTTGCCGGCAAGCTGCGAGCGTTTAGACACACAGAGCCGGATTGGCGAGTTGATCCAAGGTGCCCAATTTTCCACCTCGTAGGGTAGACATATTGGTGGAACCCTTTTGGTTTAAACAGACCGCCGCACGTGCGAGTCACTGGCGGTGGATAAACAGGAAACAGCTGATAGCAGGAATTAGCGAGCAGCTAGTAGCAAGAGGGAAACACAAACCTGACAGACACTGTAAAGATGAGCAACTGAGGAGACAAGGAATTGCGCGCCCTCCTTGTCCTCGCAAACAAAGAGGCCATTAACCGTCAGATGACGGGGACGGTGAAGGACAGGTAAGTTCGTTTTAAAAGAGACTGTGCACGTAACAAGTGCAAACTGACACGGCATCTAAGAAGTTTCAGTTATATTGCGTCATATCATACGTGTGTCATGGAAAAAGTATCTAGAAGTGCGTCAGATAAAAGCAGTAAAATAAAAAATGCAGTTTTTCCCTCTGAGATGAAGTAAAAAGGAGCACAAAATGAAAGCGCTAAGGTAAAGTGCTGAGGGTGTTCTCCACACACACACACATCCCCAGCTGGCCAGCGTCTCTTTGGCCCTGGCGTGGAAACAAGGGCCAGCCGGTATCAGCGTGTCAGCTCTTATCTCCGTGGCGACAGACCCTGGAGACGTCACACTCGCTCCTTCCCATGCTCCTCTCCTGACATCGGACTGATAAGACACTCCCTGCTAAACACACACGCATGCACACACACTTTGGCTGGTCCAAAACGCTCACAGTGTGTGTGTATGTCAGCTTAACACACGCATCTATTACAGAATCATTGATCATTGATTCCAGTGTGATCAGGTTTCAAACCAACTGTGATTGTGGTGGGAGAAGATCCTTTGCTTGAGTACAAGTACCGACACAGTGATGTAAAAATACTCATTCATTTAATACGTTAATTATTTTGCTGCTACTTTTACTTAACATTAAGACTTGTGCAGAGTAATTTTACAGAGCAATATTTCCACTTTTATTTTTAGTTTATTTATTATCATATTAATGTGCATGTACTCACCGCTTGTCATCATCTTAGTGACAGCTTCGGTAGAAAGAGGGAGGGTCCCAGGGGCTGGAGTCATGTGAGCGTCCATGGCGACGTCTACCTGAAGAGAAAATAATAATAAATTGGACGCATTTTGGCTATTTGTTAAATATTCCAAAAATTAAGATGTGTCATTTAAAAAAATGGTTTAATTTTACTGCATATAAAGCAGATTTATGATTATTTAGATTCTACAGAAAAAGATTGTTTTATGGCTTAAGATACTTGTTACTTTTGGCACAGTCACCACAGGAAATACCGCCAGTGTCTTGCTAAAAAAACAACCAATAAGTGGCACAACTGCCGCTCTAAATGCAGCCGATGTTTCACTAAAAAACAACTGTTTTTGTTGGCACAATCGCAGCTGAAAATGCTGCCAATGTCTCCCGAAAAACAGCTGTTTTTGGTGTCACAATCACTGCTGGAAATACAGCTAGTGTCTCCCTAAAAACAACTGTTTTTGGTGGCACAGTCGCCGCTGTAAATGCAGCCGATGTCTCCCTAAAAACAACTGTTTTTGTTGGCACAGTCGCCGCTGTAAATGCAGCCGATGTCTCCCTAAAAACAACTGTTTTTGGTGGCACAGTCGCCGCTGTAAATGCAGCCGATGTCTCCCTAAAAACAACTGTTTTTGTTGGCACAGTCGCCGCTGTAAATGCAGCCGATGTCTCCCTAAAAACAACTGTTTTTGGTGGCACAGTCGCCGCTGTAAATGCAGCCGATGTCTCCCTAAAAACAACTGTTTTTGTTGGCACAGTCGCCGCTGTAAATGCAGCCGATGTCTCCCTAAAAACAACTGTTTTTGGTGGCACAGTCGCCGCTGTAAATGCAGCCGATGTCTCCCTAAAAACAACTGTTTTTGTTGGCACAGTCGCCGCTGTAAATGCAGCCGATGTCTCCCTAAAAACAACTGTTTTTGGTGGCACAGTCGCCGCTGTAAATGCAGCCGATGTCTCCCTAAAAACAACTGTTTTTGTTGGCACAGTCGCCGCTGTAAATGCAGCCGATGTCTCCCTAAAAACAACTGTTTTTGGTGGCACAGTCGCCGCTGTAAATGCAGCCGATGTCTCCCTAAAAACAACTGTTTTTGTTGGCACAGTCGCCGCTGTAAATGCAGCCGATGTCTCCCTAAAAACAACTGTTTTTGGTGGCACAGTCGCCGCTGTAAATGCAGCCGATGTCTCCCTAAAAACAACTGTTTTTGTTGGCACAGTCGCCGCTGTAAATGCAGCCGATGTCTCCCTAAAAACAACTGTTTTTGGTGGCACAGTCGCCGCTGTAAATGCAGCCGATGTCTCCCTAAAAACAACTGTTTTTGTTGGCACAGTCGCCGCTGTAAATGCAGCCGATGTCTCCCTAAAAACAACTGTTTTTGGTGGCACAGTCGCCGCTGTAAATGCAGCCGATGTCTCCCTAAAAACAACTGTTTTTGGTGGCACAGTCGCCGCTGTAAATGCAGCCGATGTCTCCCTAAAAACAACTGTTTTTGGTGGCACAGTCGCCGCTGTAAATGCAGCCGATGTCTCCCTAAAAACAACTGTTTTTGGTGGCACAGTCGCCGCTGTAAATGCAGCCGATGTCTCCCTAAAAACAACTGTTTTTGGTGGCACAGTCGCCGCTGTAAATGCAGCCGATGTCTCCCTAAAAACAACTGTTTTTGTTGGCACAGTCGCCGCTGTAAATGCAGCCGATGTCTCCCTAAAAACAACTGTTTTTGGTGGCACAGTCGCCGCTCTAAATGCAGCCGATGTCTCCCTAAAAACAACTGTTTTTGTTGGCACAGTCGCTGCTGTAAATGCAGCCGATGTCTCCCTAAAAACAACTGTTTTTGGTGGCACAGTCGCCGCTGTAAATGCAGCCGATGTCTCCCTAAAAACAACCGTTTTTGGTGGCACAGTCGCCGCTGTAAATTCTGCATAATGTCTCTCTAAAACAAAGGGTTTTGGTGTCACACTCACTACTGGAAGTACTGCTGATGTCATACGAAAAACAACTGGTTTTCATGTCCCAGTTGTCGCTGTAAATGTAGCTGATTTGTCCCTAAAACAATCACTTTAGTGGCACAATTACCTCTGAAAATACTGCCAGTGTCGCCAAAGTCGCCCTAAAATCAAGTGTTTTTGGTGGCACAATCGCTGCTGTAAACGCCCTCAGTGTCTCCCTTAAAAACAATCACTATTTGTGGCACAATTTCTGCTGGAAGTACCACTGATGTCTTACAAAAAACAATTGGTTTTGATGGCACAGTCACTGCTGTAAATAAAAAATAACTGTTGTTATCAGCTTCTAAGAATTCAAATGAACAAACAGCTCCAGACTTTTGTTTATTCAAGTTGTCTGTAAAGCAGTTGTCTTGTTGTTTACCTGCAAAACGAGTCCTTAAAAGAATTGCAGGTTTTCCCACAAACTGAGCTATGAACTTGAGGGAAAGTTGTCACCAAACTATCTCTAAACTGCAGAACTTTAAGGTCATTTTTATCTGATTTTATTCCACTCTACTCAAACTTCCAGTGCTACAAGTCTAACTATCCTCACACACCCCTCTCTGGTCTCATCAAGCTTTTATTAATTATTTAAAACTGTGTTTAGTGAGAATGCACAACTTTATGAGCTCTTTCTTAAAGCGATTATTAACTGATTACTAAACATGACAGAGCAGAAACAAATCTGCAGCTTGTTGTGCAAAACAGTCACAACGCAAAAAGTGAAATGACACAAATGCATCAAAACAAAACTTCAAACTGAAATGTTAAAGGTACGAAACCCCAAAAACTTACCAGGTCAGAGCAGAACAAGAAGAAGAAGAAGAAGAAGAAGAAGAAGAAACACAACAGAGCATATGCTGAGCAACACACACGCAGCTCAAACACACACACACCCACACACAGATGGGTGTGGTGTCAGTCCCCAGGGTCGAGATCTGTTCCCCTTCCGGCCAATCACGAGTCTGACTCCACCTCTCTGATGCTACACAGCTTGCAGTCTGAAAGTGTGCAGCTGACAACGCCTCTTACATCATCCCTTCACACTCCACACACGCACACACATTATTCTGTGTGTGTTTATTCTGTGTTTAATAACCTCACCTCTAGCCTGGGAATTATTGGAGCTCTTCACTCACGTTCAGCTTGTTTGTTGCAGGTTTTTTTGGCCTGTGTTTGCCTACATTTCCCAGAATGCCTCGAAACAACCAGAGAAAAGCGTCAGAGATGTTGTTATAATCATGGCTGTTTTATGATGGCTTTCTCCCTGGCTGCGTCCCAACTCTCAGAGGATGTAGCACCGTATGGACAATTGACGGCCAAAATGAAACTCAGGAAGTCGAGCAGTGTTCTGCATGTTCACACGAGCTCAGGGTTCAGGTCCCACAGATTACAGTCCAAACAATGACCCAGATTGTGTTAATTTCTTCCATCAAAACACATAAACTCCAGAGTTTGAGAACTCACTCACTGATATTTCCCAATCACTGGTCAGATGCCTCAGTTCAATGTGTCATTACAATTTCGTCGCAGATGTTTTGGGTGTTGGAGAAAGGGCGGACACGGCTTGTTCAGTTCAGTCACTTTATTACCCCAGATGGGAAACTTGATTTGCAGTGACGTGCACAAAATACAAAACAAGACACGTCCAAACGGGGTCTAATCATTTTCTCCTTACACAACAGCCTCTGAATAAACTGCGCCTCAACGTCCACGACTTTATTCACAAAAGGACATGTTTCTCCTTCCTGCTACACGCTCAGCGGGCGATCAGACTCAGGCAGGTTTGCTTCACGGAGTAAAGCCTAGTTCACATGACACGATTTTCACTGACGTCGCAGAGGATCTTGAGAGCCACCTTGGGTCGGAGGTGAGTTGGCAGATAGTCTGCCACGACGAGTCCTCATGTGTGAACAAGCCTACGAGCAAGTCGCCCCCTCGTCTGTGACTGAGACTGGATATCTGGCATGCTAGAAAGGTTTGGCAGGGTTGCCAGGTCCGTTTACTAGCTGCGACTTTGGGCTTGTTTCTAAAGTGGAGTTGCTTATTTGGGCTTGCTCTCTAAACGTCACCTTCCTCTATATATATCCGTCGCTTCTTTTGGGCTTGTTTCCACAGCCTTGGTTGCTTGTTTCTCTCGCAAGATCTGGCAACACTGACAAGCTGGCAAGCAACAACAACAATGGCGGCGTCCACAGGATCACGGGAAGCGCGTTGTGTTTGGACCCAGGCCCTGGAGGCAGATCTGATTCAACACTGGGAAGAATATCCATGTTTTTACGATGTGTCGTCACTGCGTTATCTGCGGCTCTGTTTGGGAGAAATCTTGTGGTGTGCACACACACGTCGTAACGCAGCTTCCGAGACTCCCGCTGACAGAAACACACGTCGCCAAATATGAACACTTAAAAGATTACGATAGTCTCCGCGACGCAAAATCAGGGCGAAAATCATGTAATGTGAACTAGCCTTAAGTTGCCATAGTAACTGACTCAGGGTTACACTGAAATAAGGTCCAGGTGCCTTTAAACAATAACAGCGACCGGCCGTGTGTCATGCCGACTTGAAAGGATGGCTTCTTTCATCAGTATCTGACACCAGAAGTCACTGACCAAGCGCTGGTTTTAGAGTGAGACTGAGCTGGTTTTACACGACCAGTTTAATGCTAAATACATGAGGCAGTTAAGGTCATATATTAAAATACACCAAAGTTCTAACACAAGCTTTCAAATAATGTAGAGACATTCTGTGTGTTATTTCATGTTGTCTTGTTGAGTATAATCTGCAGGCAGGAGAAATGTAAACCCTCTGCAGGTAGAGCACTGGACCAGGTGACTGCAATCATGGAGTTAATTAGGTCAGTGGGGAGAGCCTCACTCAGCACTCACACCTGAAGGCTGTGTGCTTAATTAAGCTGCACGCCAAGCAAAAGACAAGACTCCACAAAGGTCCACTGTGTGGTTCTTGAATGGTTCTTGGTTCTCTGTGTGGACACAAAGTTCATTAATCAGTTTTGTGTCACAGCACTGCGATGACAATCATGTTTTTAGAGACAAACAGAAACTTCGAAGGTTCTCTGGATCTATGTGAGATCATTTAGCACTGATCTCATCAGAAGTGGACTGAATACTGCAGGAAAATGCCTCTGCTCCCCACAACAAAAGAATTAACGAGGAGAGAGGAGAGATTGGTGTGACGAAATCCAAATGTCAGAACTCATCTGTTCCTGCAGATAACAAGGTATAAATCACATGTAAAGCTTTTTTTGTGACGGAACACAAATGTATTAATACACAGACTACACATGTTCAGTGACTATCTGTGTTAGACGCCAATGAAATAGCCGTCCTTTCACATTGGTGTGATGCGCAGCTGGTTGCCAGTGGTGCCAGGGGGAGGAAAAGGAGTTAAAGGAGAGGAGTTAAGGAGGGGAAAATGCAACTAGGGGATGCAGGGGTGGTGAATGGATCCAACAGCCACGGACTTTCACCCGGGAGGCCAGTGTTCGCTTCCTGTAAGATGTTTTTTTAAACCTAACCACGTGCTTTTGTTGTGAAACCCCCCCCCTATTCATTTGCGGTGTTGTACCGACGTAGTGTTTTTATTTTGAAAGAGACTGTATGCAAACTGTACATTTCCTGTGAAAACAGAAGTGTATTTTGAAAACAGACAATGCATGTAACAGGCTGAAGTTGACACGGCGTCCCAGAACGTCAACAACCAACACACCCAGGGTACCTTGGACGTCATATGTGGACGTGGAAAGTTCCCACTTCCTCCTTTTCTGTCCCACAAAAAAACTCTCTCAAACTCCAGAGTCACACATGGATAATTTATTTCATTTCATATCACCGACATCCAAACAAACCAGTGCTCAACATTTCAAAATACACATCATTGATAACAAACTCTGCTCCAACTGTTTTGATAAAGATTTCATTCCTATCATCATAAGTTTTCTTTGCATGACGAGAAGAGTGTGAAACAAGATTTTTTTTTTTTTTTTACTCTAGCAGGTTGAATTGTTTGGCTACAGACAACAGCGGCGACTAAATCTCAACATTTTAGGATTATTTCTGCAGCCGGCTAAACATCTGCAACATATTATGACTCAAATAATCGTTGATTACTTGTCTACCAGCTACCTAAATATAAAGTATCTCAAAAAACAAAAAAAAACCTTCTAAACAATGTTTTTACCAAACTGGAAGCTAGCGTAAAAAACAAAAACCCTCAGACGCCATTTTCAACATTTTACTAACCAATTAAACCTTGAAGACTAAGTTGCAAGTCATTTTCAATATTTGATAGTCAACTAGATTTTTAAGATTTTGTCTAAATTGTTGTTTCCAAAGTGGCTTCTAGCTGAACTGAAACTCACAAGCCACTTTGAAACTTTTGCTAGCCAACGACCAACCTGCAAGTCGCCTTCAATATTTGATAGTCAATAAGGTTTTGCAAACACACAGGTGCTTCTAAAGCCCTATTCACAGGAGACCAGTATTACCAGGGGACTGATCGAGGCCTAGTCCACATGTACACCGGTTTTTGGAAAACAAACTAAAAAAAAATACCCTGTCCACACGAAAACACAATCAAAGGGCTGTCAAGAGCGTGCCAAACCAACAAGTGGAGATATAACCCGAACCCAGAAGCCAGGCGAAGAATATATGACGTCAGAAAGATGTTGGACAGACGTCAAATTTTGGTTGGAATCAATATTTCAAATGTTTAACGACGTCAGGATTTCACATTGTGTGGACGTTAACATTACAACATTTTGCAGACGTTGGGTTTTGTTCCACATACCTCACAATAAAATGCGATTATTCTATGTTAAGATGATGCTGGCATGGAAGACGTTGGATTTTGGTCACTTAACAATGCAGCTGTAAACAACAAAATACCAACGGAGTCTGTCGCCAGTATTCTACGTCAAATTGACGTGCACGCTAATATCGGTGTGTCATCGGCATAGGCGGATATTAGCTTTAAATGAGCTGTCAGAATCGGCCAACGTGCTTTTTCCTTAATTCGCCTCATGAATGACTATTACATACATACATATTATATTTCATGTCTCCATCTGATGGTGGGCCGTCACGTTAAGAGCATGCATGTATAATATGATGTTAATTCCACCACAGAAGAGACTTGATGATCACTAAAATTAGCTGCTGAAGAGTGGATCGCTATCGGTTATCGGTCAAATGAGTTGTTACATATCGGCATATCCGATATCGGCAAAAAATCTAATATCATGCATCCCTAGTTGTAAGTTTATTAAGAATAAGAGTGTGCACGTAAAGAGCAGAAACTGTACATTTCCTGTGACAACAGAAGTCTATTTTGAATCAAAACAGACGCAAAAGGTTACCTAGCGTATCGTGTTTTGACTTGTACGAACAAAGCAGAGGTATTTGACGAGTTGGTGTAAGAACGTACTGAAATATTAACGTCTAACGACAATGGTGGGCAGCTGGGCTGAAAACAGAGTTTCTAAACAACTTCATCCAGAGATCAGTTTTCAGTGACCTAAAGAGCAGTTTGCATAAGAAAAGGCTACATTTTCAAATATAGCCACGTTCGTGTGGACAAGGCCTTCGATCAGCTCCCCAGTGTCTGTTTCAAGTGCCACAATCACGCGGGATGAATCTGTATTCTGCTCAAATTTACTGAAATTATCAAACAAATATGATGTCGAGCCTTTGTGTAACATCCGCTTCCCAACGTCAAGAACAATGGCTGCTAAAAATGTGAAAACAGGCATTGGACACGTGCTGCTTAGGGTGGGTCTCAATGCTGTGAGCCTCCTGAATTTGTTCCAAAAATGCCGCCAAAGCCTCCAAATTTCTCGACTAGGAAGGATGCAGAAAAAGAGTCGCAGAGACAGAAAGCCAAACAAACAAAACCAGCCCCAAATCAGGAACTAATATTCTCACATGACGTCTGTGTTTGGTGGAACATGATAGGTAATTTGGGGGTAGAGTTGTTACTTGACAAGTTACGGACATGGCAGTTCCACATGGGTTTAAGATCCCCAGGTTATACTGACCTCGTGATAATAGTGTTTTATCGATTTACTGGCCTCCTAAAATGCTATGTGTGAAATCTCAAAAGAATGATTGGAGGCTGCTTGACTAAGTGTGGACAAACTTACTGGTCCTTTTTACAACTTTACTGGCCCTTTCACCAGAGGAAACTTGAATTATTGATCATATTTTGGCAGATCTTGGTAGCCAAAGCTGGTAGCCAAAATCTAGATAACTCTTCTAAATTGTTTTAAACAGTTTGATATTTAGAAAGAGACTGGGAATTACTCTAAAGTGGCGATCAAAAAGTACCAATTTCTGCAGCCAACTAGCATCTGATGTGCAGAAGAAACTACTTTTAGAAATCGGTGTCTAGTTTTGGAACAAACTTCAGAGCCACACTAAAATCCCAAAGCCTTTTTGAAGCCTTTACAAGCCATCTAGGTATTTAGACTCAAATAGAAAAAGAACAAGGTTGATTTTAGCTACTAGACTGGACTGTCTGCCAGCCACCAGCCAATAATGTTTTGGCTGCTGGCTGGAGTTGCGTTCCCAGCCTGCGCTGCGCCGACTGCACCCACAGGTTGTGCGTTGCTAGGCTTCTTCTCCTTCTTTATAATTTACTGTAGCTCCCCCTCTTTTGTCTCCCTGCTCGCCCTCCTCCTCCTTCACTCGTCCTCGTGCTCGAAGAACTCATGGCAACAGACGGTAACCATGGAGATGAATGTCATGAACTCCTGGAAGTCGCATTCGGCGTCGCCGTCGGCGTCCAGGCTCTCCATCAGGCTGTCGAGTGTAGCCTGGTCTTTCACATGCTGCAGGGAGGGGACAAACGGAGAGTTCGCACCAGGTCATTGAAACGACTCAGGACAACACACTGAATGTTTTTGGATGAAAACATAATACTCAGTTCGTTGAGTTCAGCAGCTCTGAGGTACATTCAAACATTGACTCAGTGGTGGACAAATAGTAAGAAAAACTTTGATTACTAGGCTACCATTAATTCAGAAGTGGGAGAAGAGATATTACAACCTTTTACTTAGCAGAAGTAGCAATACCATGGTGTAGACGTACTCAAGTACAAGTCAAAGTCCTGAAAGTAGAAGTATCAAGGTGCAAAAGTACTTAAGTACCTGTCAAGGTCCTGAAAGTAGCAATACTATGTTGTAGAAGTACTCAAGTACAAGTCAAAGTCCTGAAGTAGCTATATCACTGTGTAGAAGTACTCAAGTACAAGTCAAAGTCCTTGAAGTAGCTATACCTAGGTGCAAAAGTACTTAAGTAAAGGTCAATGTCCTGAAGGTCACAATGCCACATTGAAGAAGTACTCAAGTACAAGTCAAAGTCCTCAAGTAGCTATATCACGGTGTAGAAGTACTCAAGTACAAGTCAAAGTCCTTGAAGTAGCTATACCTAGGTGCAAAAGTACTTAAGTAAAGGTCAATGTCCTGAAGGTCACAATGCCACATTGAAGAAGTACTCAAGTACAAGTCAAAGTCCTCAAGTAGCTATATCACGGTGTAGAAGTACTCAAGTACAAGTCAAAGTCCTTGAAGTAGCTATACCTAGGTGCAAAAGTACTTAAGTAAAGGTCAATGTCCTGAAGGTCACAATGCCACATTGAAGAAGTACTCAAGTACAAGTCAAAGTCCTCAAGTAGCTATATCACGGTGTAGAAGTACTCAAGTACAAGTCAAAGTCCTTGAAGTAGCTATACCTAGGTGCAAAAGTACTTAAGTAAAGGTCAATGTCCTGAAGGTCACAATGCCACATTGAAGAAGTACTCAAGTACAAGTCAAAGTCCTCAAGTAGCTATATCACGGTGTAGAAGTACTCAAGTACAAGTCAAAGTCCTCAAGTAGCTATATCACGGTGTAGAAGTACTCAAGTACAAGTCAAAGTCCTTGAAGTAGCTATACCTAGGTGCAAAAGTACTTAAGTAAAGGTCAATGTCCTTAAGGTCACAATGCCACATTGAAGAAGTACTCAAGTACAAGTCAAAGTCCTCAAGTAGCTATATCACGGTGTAGAAGTACTCAAGTACAAGTCAAAGTCCTCAAGTAGCTATATCACGGCGTAGAAGTACTCAAGTACAAGTCAAAGTCCTTGAAGTAGCTATACCTAGGTGCAAAAGTACTTAAGTAAAGGTCAATGTCCTTAAGGTCACAATGCCACATTGAAGAAGTACTCAAGTACAAGTCAAAGTCCTCAAGTAGCTATATCACGGTGTAGAAGTACTCAAGTACAAGTCAAAGTCCTCAAGTAGCTATATCACGGCGTAGAAGTACTCAAGTACAAGTCAAAGTCCTTGAAGTAGCTATACCTAGGTGCAAAAGTACTTAAGTAAAGGTCAATGTCCTTAAGGTCACAATGCCACATTGAAGAAGTACTCAAGTACAAGTCAAAGTCCTCAAGTAGCTATATCACGGTGTAGAAGTACTCAAGTACAAGTCAAAGTCCTCAAGTAGCTATATCACGGCGTAGAAGTACTCAAGTACAAGTCAAAGTCCTTGAAGTAGCTATACCTAGGTGCAAAAGTACTTAAGTAAAGGTCAATGTCCTTAAGGTCACAATGCCACATTGAAGAAGTACTCAAGTACAAGTCAAAGTCCTCAAGTAGCTATATCACGGTGTAGAAGTACTCAAGTACAAGTCAAAGTCCTCAAGTAGCTATATCACGGCGTAGAAGTACTCAAGTACAAGTCAAAGTCCTTGAAGTAGCTATACCTAGGTGCAAAAGTACTTAAGTAAAGGTCAATGTCCTTAAGGTCACAATGCCACATTGAAGAAGTACTCAAGTACAAGTCAAAGTCCTCAAGTAGCTATATCACGGTGTAGAAGTACTCAAGTACAAGTCAAAGTCCTCAAGTAGCTATATCACGGCGTAGAAGTACTCAAGTACAAGTCAAAGTCCTTGAAGTAGCTATACCTAGGTGCAAAAGTACTTAAGTAAAGGTCAATGTCCTTAAGGTCACAATGCCACATTGAAGAAGTACTCAAGTACAAGTCAAAGTCCTCAAGTAGCTATATCACGGTGTAGAAGTACTCAAGTACAAGTCAAAGTCCTCAAGTAGCTATATCACGGCGTAGAAGTACTCAAGTACAAGTCAAAGTCCTTGAAGTAGCTATACCTAGGTGCAAAAGTACTTAAGTAAAGGTCAATGTCCTTAAGGTCACAATGCCACATTGAAGAAGTACTCAAGTACAAGTCAAAGTCCTCAAGTAGCTATATCACGGTGTAGAAGTACTCAAGTACAAGTCAAAGTCCTCAAGTAGCTATATCACGGCGTAGAAGTACTCAAGTACAAGTCAAAGTCCTTGAAGTAGCTATACCTAGGTGCAAAAGTACTTAAGTAAAGGTCAATGTCCTTAAGGTCACAATGCCACATTGAAGAAGTACTCAAGTACAAGTCAAAGTCCTCAAGTAGCTATATCACGGTGTAGAAGTACTCAAGTACAAGTCAAAGTCCTCAAGTAGCTATATCACGGCGTAGAAGTACTCAAGTACAAGTCAAAGTCCTTGAAGTAGCTATACCTAGGTGCAAAAGTACTTAAGTAAAGGTCAATGTCCTTAAGGTCACAATGCCACATTGAAGAAGTACTCAAGTACAAGTCAAAGTCCTCAAGTAGCTATATCACGGTGTAGAAGTACTCAAGTACAAGTCAAAGTCCTCAAGTAGCTATATCACGGCGTAGAAGTACTCAAGTACAAGTCAAAGTCCTTGAAGTAGCTATACCTAGGTGCAAAAGTACTTAAGTAAAGGTCAATGTCCTTAAGGTCACAATGCCACATTGAAGAAGTACTCAAGTACAAGTCAAAGTCCTCAAGTAGCTATATCACGGTGTAGAAGTACTCAAGTACAAGTCAAAGTCCTCAAGTAGCTATATCACGGCGTAGAAGTACTCAAGTACAAGTCAAAGTCCTTGAAGTAGCTATACCTAGGTGCAAAAGTACTTAAGTAAAGGTCAATGTCCTTAAGGTCACAATGCCACATTGAAGAAGTACTCAAGTACAAGTCAAAGTCCTCAAGTAGCTATATCACGGTGTAGAAGTACTCAAGTACAAGTCAAAGTCCTCAAGTAGCTATATCACGGCGTAGAAGTACTCAAGTACAAGTCAAAGTCCTTGAAGTAGCTATACCTAGGTGCAAAAGTACTTAAGTAAAGGTCAATGTCCTTAAGGTCACAATGCCACATTGAAGAAGTACTCAAGTACAAGTCAAAGTCCTCAAGTAGCTATATCACGGTGTAGAAGTACTCAAGTACAAGTCAAAGTCCTCAAGTAGCTATATCACGGCGTAGAAGTACTCAAGTACAAGTCAAAGTCCTTGAAGTAGCTATACCTAGGTGCAAAAGTACTTAAGTAAAGGTCAATGTCCTTAAGGTCACAATGCCACATTGAAGAAGTACTCAAGTACAAGTCAAAGTCCTCAAGTAGCTATATCACGGTGTAGAAGTACTCAAGTACAAGTCAAAGTCCTCAAGTAGCTATATCACGGCGTAGAAGTACTCAAGTACAAGTCAAAGTCCTTGAAGTAGCTATACCTAGGTGCAAAAGTACTTAAGTAAAGGTCAATGTCCTTAAGGTCACAATGCCACATTGAAGAAGTACTCAAGTACAAGTCAAAGTCCTCAAGTAGCTATATCACGGTGTAGAAGTACTCAAGTACAAGTCAAAGTCCTCAAGTAGCTATATCACGGCGTAGAAGTACTCAAGTACAAGTCAAAGTCCTTGAAGTAGCTATACCTAGGTGCAAAAGTACTTAAGTAAAGGTCAATGTCCTTAAGGTCACAATGCCACATTGAAGAAGTACTCAAGTACAAGTCAAAGTCCTCAAGTAGCTATATCACGGTGTAGAAGTACTCAAGTACAAGTCAAAGTCCTCAAGTAGCTATATCACGGCGTAGAAGTACTCAAGTACAAGTCAAAGTCCTTGAAGTAGCTATACCTAGGTGCAAAAGTACTTAAGTAAAGGTCAATGTCCTTAAGGTCACAATGCCACATTGAAGAAGTACTCAAGTACAAGTCAAAGTCCTCAAGTAGCTATATCACGGTGTAGAAGTACTCAAGTACAAGTCAAAGTCCTCAAGTAGCTATATCACGGCGTAGAAGTACTCAAGTACAAGTCAAAGTCCTTGAAGTAGCTATACCTAGGTGCAAAAGTACTTAAGTAAAGGTCAATGTCCTTAAGGTCACAATGCCACATTGAAGAAGTACTCAAGTACAAGTCAAAGTCCTCAAGTAGCTATATCACGGTGTAGAAGTACTCAAGTACAAGTCAAAGTCCTTGAAGTAGCTATACCTAGGTGCAAAAGTACTTAAGTAAAGGTCAATGTCCTGAAGGTCACAATGCCACATTGAAGAAGTACTCAAGTACCCGTCAAGGTCCTGAAAGTAGCAATACTATGTTATAGAAGTACTCAAGTACAAGTCAAAGTCCTTGAAGTAGCTATACCAAGGTGCAAAAGTACTTAAGTACAGGTCAATGTCCTGAAGGTCACAATATTATGTTGAAGAAGTACTTAAGTACCTGTCAAGGTCTTGAAAGTAGCAATACTATGTTGTAGAAGTACTCAACTACAAGTCAAAGTCCTGAAAGAAGAAGTATCAAGGTGTAGAAGTACTTAAGTAAAGGTCAATGTCCTGAAGGTCACAATATTACATTGAAGAAGTACTCAAGTACAAGTCAAAGTCCTGAAAGTAGAAGTATCAAGGTGTAGAAGAACTAAATGCAAGTCAGGGTCCTAGAAATAGCAATACCAAGGCGTAGCATAATTTATTTTCAAGTAGAAGTCCTACAAAGAGCTTTACAAAGGAAGTAGAAGTAGAGGAAGTACTCACAAATAAGTAAAAGTCCCAAAAGTACCAATACTACATGTAGAAGTACTTAAGTACAAGTCAAAGTCCCAGAAACAGCATCATCAAGGTGTAGAAGTACTTAAGTAGAAGTTGAAATCCTGAAAGTAGCAAGTCCATGTAATGGAAGTACTAAAGCACAAGTAAAAATACCACTGTGTAGAAGTACTCAAGTACAAGTAAAAGTCCTGAAAGTCATACCAAGATGTAGAAGTACTCAAGTACAAGTTAAAGTCTTGAAATTAGCAATACCACGGAGTAGATGTATTCAACTATCTGTCAAGGCCCTGAAAATAGCAATAATATGTTGTGGAAGTACTTAAGTACAAGTCATAGTCCTGAAAGTAGCAATACCACAGTTTAGAAGTACTGAAGTACAAGTTAAAGTCCCAGAAGTAGCAATGCAAAGGTGTAAAAGTACTTCAATACAGGTCAAAATCCTGAAAGAGCAATACTAAGGGGTAGAAGTACTGAAAACAAGTAAAAGTTCTCGAAGTAGCAATACAAAGTAGAAGTACAAGTCAAGTTCCTGAAAGTAGCAGAACCACTTTCTAGAAGTACTTAAGTACAAGTCAAAGCCCTGAAAGTACCTTGTTGCAGAAGTACTCAAGTACAAGTTAATGTCTTAAAAGTAGCAATAAAACATGTAAAGGTAATTTTAATGCAAGTAAAAGTCTTGAAAGTAGCAATACCACATTGAAGAAGTACTCAAGTACAAGTTAATGTCTTATAAGTAGCAATAAAACATGTAAAGGTAATTTTAATGCAAGTAAAAGTCTTGAAAGTAGCAATACCACATTGAAGAAGTACTCAAGTACAAGTTAATGTCTTAAAAGTAGCAATAAAACATGTAAAGGTAATTTTAATGCAAGTAAAAGTCTTGAAAGTAGCAATACCACATTGAAGAAGTACTCAAGTACAAGTTAATGTCTTAAAAGTAGCAATAAAACATGTAAAGGGAACTTTAATGCAAGTAAAAGTCCTGAAAGTAGCAATACCACATTGAAGAAGTACTCAAGTACAAGTTTAAGTCCTAGAAGTAGCAATGCCAAGGTGTGGATTTACCTAAGTAGAAGCAGTAGTAGTAAGAGTATAAGTATTTATGATACTTTAATTCTATACTTAAATTTTACTCCACTACATTTTGGAGGAAAATATTGTACTTTTTACTGCACAACATTTAAACTCCTCCAGATCTCAGTTTTGTTTCTCACCCCCATCAGATCCGGCAGCTCGTCGTTGAGCAGATCCTTCAGCTCGCTCTTCTTCAGTTTGTGTTTGTCTCCTTCTCTTTCCGAGTACTTCTGGAACACGGCGATGATGGTCGCCATCGAGGTCTCCAGGTCGGTCATTGTCATCTGTCTTCTTTCACCTTTTCAGAGAGAATACACGAACACATGAGAAACAGAAGAGTTCAGGTTTCTGGTTTTACTCACTTCAGTTAGGGATGTAGAAAGAGTTAGATGACAGATTGTGGCCAGATGTGATCCCTGAATATCTTGGGGTGACACACCAAAATCAAAAGTACTGAATTTCAGGAGTTCAGTTATGCTGTTGAGGTTTAACGGCGGGTTAAAACTGGCAATATGGACAGTTCAGGAATCACATACTTTATCTTGAGGTGTGCGATCAAGGGATTTGTTTGAAAATGGCCAGTTGTTCCCTCACCAAAATTTAGCCTACCTTTAGCGCATTATTTAGCCCGTTCCCTACAATATATACTTGTATTTTTGGGGGATTTTGCCTTTATTTGACAGGACAGTACTTAGCTGTAGGTATGTAGCTACAAAAAAAATCATTATTTTGAGTATTTTCAGTGCTTTACCTTGATTTCAGACAGCGATTTCCAGCTGCTCTCCAATTGCTGTCTTCAATGCCAGACTCCATTGAGAAAAACAGCGATTTAACGTTGCTGAACACAGGAGCTGCTGGTCTACTGCTGCCTCGATTAGTCGCTTAATTTGAGTTATTTCGTGACGTCTGTGTTTGAAAGAGTTAGTTCGGATTCACCGGAGTCACACAATAACACCAACTAATTAACTCATCAAAGCAGCGGTACACAAACAGCTCTTGTGTTCAGCAAGCTAAAATTAATGTTTTTGTCAATGGACTTTGGTGGCTTTCACAAGAGCATCGTCGGGAAACCGCTAATGGCTTCTCCATCAGAATCAACTGTCAGGTGGAGAGTTACAGCAGTGAAAATACTCTCAATACAGAGTACGCTTAAACTGATATTGATTTTTTTAGGTGGCTGAAATACGTTTTTTTTGCTGGCCCCCATCCACAGCAGTACATTGCTTAGCTTCTGTGTCAAACTCCAGCCTGCTTCTCCAAACTGGGGGCGTGCCGACTGACATCTACTGTATGTTATACACTAACTATCCATATGTACCTCATACAACCCCACTTAAAAAAATCTGGACTATCCCTTTAAACTTACTGATAAAAAATATGTATTTAAATTAATAATCAGAATGTTGGTAATGACAAACGGGTCTTTTCTGTGTTTAAATGAAGTAAAGAAAAGAGTGATGACCTTACCTCACTGTGAGTTCAAGCTGAAGTTGTGTTTGTTGGAGTCCAGTGGGTGGAGGCTGAGGATGAACAGCAGACTTTATACTGCAGCAGTGTGGTGGGTGGTGGTGTGGAGGGTGCAGCGCTGAGGTCATTCAAAACTGCTGACCAATCCGGGCTGTCCACCTCCCCTCACTCCACTGCAGCCCTGCGCTAACCAGCACTGATGGGCTGACTCTTAATGTCAGTCTGTTCGTGTGAGAAGTTGTTTCAGAGAGTGGAGGAATAAGACGCTTCTCATCACCCCGACCACAGTGTCGACATTATTGGGTTTGATATCGGGAATTAAAAAAGAGGTCATCGTCTCTCCAAACAGTCAGGAGCAACTGAAACTATTGGTGATGATGTTAAATTAACAAATGAACACTATTGTTTTAATGCATCTCATTTAGGGGAGACCGGGGCCGGTTGGCACACAGCTATTTTCTCTTAAACAACAATCTAACACAACACATTCTCACTCTGACCTCGTATCGACGTTTGGTCGTGGACTTTCCAAGTCCACATACGATGTCTAAGGTACCCTGGGTGTGTTGGTTATTGATGTCCTGAGACGCCGTGTCAACTTCAGCCTGTTACATGCATTGTCTGTTTTCAAAATACACGCCGTTTCCTCCCGTTAGTTAAAAAATGTGGATATTTTTAATGACCCATCGCTGTTTTTCCGGAAGCTTTTTCGACACCTAACCACACATTGACCACCAACGTATCTCGTATCATAACTTGTGGCTTCCAGATTAGCTTAAACTCACAAGTCATTATGTTACGAGTCAACGACCAACTTGCAAGTCACTTTCTACAGAACATAGTTCGGTAACACTTCATAAGACAGCCCGCGTTTTAGAGTGAACCTCTCGGCCACTTTCCCAGGAGTTAGAGTATAACTCCCGGGAAAGTATATGTTAAGTGACCGGAAGGAGTTGTACGCTAACTCCTGGGAAAGTGGGCGAGAGGTTCACTCTAAAACGCGGGCTGTCTTATGAAGTGTTACCCATTGTTCCCCAAAAAATTTTCACAACTCTGAAGTCGTCGAATACTGGCCCTTAGTTGGTGACTTCAGGCATCAGACACCAACGAAAAAAGCCGTCCGTTCACGTTAGCATTATACGCGGTCGGTCGCCTTTATTGTTTAATTGCGTCAGGGGAAAACGCAAGTGTTGTACTGACATAGCGCGCTTATTTTGAAAGAGACTGTATGCAAACTGGACGTTTCCTGCAAAAACAGACGATGTATGTAACAGGCTGAAGTTGACATGGCGTTCCAGAACGTCAACAACCAACCTAAGGTACCTTGCACCTGGACGAATACGTCTACTTTTATACAAGTATGCTCTTCACTCCTGCCAAGGAGGTTATATTTCAGTCTTGCTAGTTTGTTTAGCAGCAGGATTATAGAACAGGTTTTGGCCTGATCCTCATGTCACTTGGTCTCACCAAGTGACATGAGGATGGAACATGGCCCAAGGAAGAACTCAGTAAATTTGGGCATGGATAGGACGTATACCTTGGCGGAGTTCTGCAATCTCCTTGTGCCCTTCCCATACAACAACAAATTCTGCAGCTTTTGTCAAGACCTGCAGCAAGGACGAATACTTGCTCAACGACCGCCACCTGTGAATCCAACTTTTCTTTACCTGAAGAAAAAAGTCATAGCAGTAGCAGAGAGTCCGATCTGACTCGGTGGGGGTTAGACTTTGTTGGAGGAGCTTAAATAGGTCTCTTTCTCGACTCAAGCACAAATTTTTACTTGAGTATTTCCGTTTCGTGGCCATTAATACGTCGACTCCGACACAATTCAGAGAGACTCTTGACTGAATTTAATTTGACAGCTGTAGTTGTTAAAATTAGATCAATTTTACAGGAAGGATCCGTTTAATTGAGTACAAATTATAAAGAAAGTATAGAGGGTGTTGTGAGACAGTTACTTGTGTTTAATTAGTCGTGGTTCAGTTTATAAAGAACCGTTGATTTGTGGAGAAGCGTCCGTGAAAGAACGACCAAAACTGCCAACTAGCAATTAAATAGTTGGAGGTTTACCAAATGAAGTGTGTCTGTTACATACGTCTTCACCTTCAGATGAGTTACAGTTACTCTCTCACAGGGGAGAAACAGTCTCACAGGGTCTTTTCCAACTTGAGATGTATTAACTAAACTTTGCCAAGCACCTCTGGTCGAACAGTTCCCTCTGTATCTATCGTTGGTCGTGGATCGTATACCATCTCTCTTTGATTCGGCTCTGCTTCTCTGCGATGTGTTCGGGGCATCTGCTGGGACACAAAGGCCCGTTTCAGAGGAAGCGGATGGCCGTGCATGTTAATGAAGACGTTCTTTTCACTGGTGAAGTTGGCCAGACGTGTGCCCTCCGCAGCCTAAAGAGAGCTCACACAAACACTACATCTGCTGCGGCCAAATAGGCAGAAGTTGAGATGTGCCGGTGCCAAGTTTTTACCCCCAGAATGCTGTAAACAAACTTTGGAGACTTCGGGGGAAAATGAATGTACAGTGCCGTGCCTGTGTGCCAGTGATGGAAAGTACTGTATGCAAGACAGAAAGAAAAAAGGAAGATTTTATTTGGATACACTGATACTACTCGTTTGTGGTGAATACACTAAAACATTTACCTTGGTTTTGGGATCATGAGAGCATTTCCATCCGTTTTTATCAGGAGTAAACAGAAACACACATTAATTTGCATTTTCTTTGTTGATTTTCTGGATTTTTTTCTCAAAATTTTCACCAGATTTGGATGGAAGAAAAACAGCTATGTCTTGGTAAAACCGACCGCCTTTGTGGCACAATCGCGGCAGAAAACACAGCTATGTCTTACCAAAAAGCAACCTTTTTTGTAGCTTTATTGCGACAGGAAACACAGCAATGTCTCATTAAAGGAGCCGTAAAAAGCATTCTCTGTCTGGGGCAGTGTTGCTCTGTCTGCTACCATTCTGGCAGGAAACACAGCGATGTCTTGGTATAAAACAACCACTTTTATGGCACTATCCTGGCAGGAAATGCGGTGATGTCTTTGGAAAAACAACAGTTTTTTGCATCATTATCCTGGCAGGAAACCAGTGGCATCTTTGTTCAAAACAACCAGTTTTTACGGCACTATACGGGCAGGAAATGCAGCCATGTCTCGGCAGAAACCAACCACCTTTCTTGGCACTATACGGGCAGGAAATGCAGCCATGTCTCGGCAGAAACCAACCACCTTTCTTGGCACTATACGGGCAGGAAATGCAGCCATGTCTCGGCAGAAACCAACCACCTTTCTTGGCACTATACGGGCAGGAAATGCAGCCATGTCTCGGCAGAAACCAACCACCTTTCTTGGCACTATACGGGCAGGAAATGCAGCCATGTCTCGGCAGAAACCAACCACCTTTCTTGGCACTATACGGGCAGGAAATGCAGCCATGTCTCGGCAGAAACCAACCACCTTTCTTGGCACTATACGGGCAGGAAATGCAGCCATGTCTCGGCAGAAACCAACCACCTTTCTTGGCACTATACGGGCAGGAAATGCAGCCATGTCTCGGCAGAAACCAACCACCTTTCTTGGCACTATACGGGCAGGAAATGCAGCCATGTCTCGGCAGAAACCAACCACCTTTCTTGGCACTATACGGGCAGGAAATGCAGCCATGTCTCGGCAGAAACCAACCACCTTTCTTGGCACTATACGGGCAGGAAATGCAGCCATGTCTCGGCAGAAACCAACCCCCTTTCTTGGCACTATACGGGCAGGAAATGCAGCCATGTCTCGGCAGAAACCAACCACCTTTCTTGGCACTATACGGGCAGGAAATGCAGCCATGTCTCGGCAGAAACCAACCACCTTTCTTGGCACTATACGGGCAGGAAATGCAGCCATGTCTCGGCAGAAACCAACCACCTTTCTTGGCACTATACGGGCAGGAAATGCAGCCATGTCTCGGCAGAAACCAACCACCTTTCTTGGCACTATACGGGCAGGAAATGCAGCCATGTCTCGGCAGAAACCAACCACCTTTCTTGGCACTATACGGGCAGGAAATGCAGCCATGTCTCGGCAGAAATCAACCACCGTTCTTGGCACTATCCCGGCAGGAAATGCGGCCATGTCTCGGCAGAAATCAACCACCGTTCTTGGCACTATCCAGGCAGGAAATGCGGCCATGTCTCGGCAGAAACCAATCACCTTTCTTGGCACTATACGGGCAGGAAATGCGGCCATGTCTCGGCAGGAACCAACTACCTTACTTGGCACTATCCTGGCAGGAAATGCAGCCATGTCCCAGCAGAAACCAACCACCTTTCTTGGCACTATCCTGGCAGGAAATGCGGCCATGTCTCGGCAGAAATCAACCACCGTTCTTGGCACTATCCCGGCAGGAAATGCGGCCATGTCTCGGCAGAAATCAACCACCGTTCTTGGCACTATCCCGGCAGGAAATGCGGCCATGTCTCGGCAGAAATCAACCACCGTTCTTGGCACTATACGGGCAGGAAATGCAGCCATGTCTCGGCAGAAACCAACCACCTTTCTTGGCACTATCCCGGCAGGAAATGCAGCCATGTCTCGGCAGAAACCAATCACCTTTCTTGGCACTATCCCGGCAGGAAATGCAGCCATGTCTCGGCAGAAACCAACCACCTTTTGTGGCACTCTCCTGGCAGGAAATGCAGCAATGGACTGGTACAAAACACCCACTTGTAGTGCCTAAAAAGTCGCTGTAAACACAACAGTGATTCTTTAAAACACCTGGATTTGTGTTTGTTGGTCTTGAACAGTGGTCTGCAGCTTGAGCGGCGTCTCGGTGACATGCCATCCACCAGCCCCTCCACCTGTTTATGACAAAGTCAGCGCATATACTACATCTCTTTGGAAACATTGATATGATACAAATGAAATGACGTATTTGTGGTTTGCAGAAATGTACAATGCCAACATTTTTCTCTGGCGACTGGTCTGAAGACAGGAAGCGAGACTGAATTTCAAAATAAAGTGGACAGTTTGTGACTAGTCTGGTGCACTTTGTGGCTCTGAGCTTTTTTTTTAAGACTTTTATAAACTTATCTCAAC